ATTCATAGGGGGATTTGGTTGCAAATTCTTTAAATTAAATTAATCTACAGATTGTGGAAGATGAGTAAAAATCTCTAACTTAACAAACTAACTTTTGTCAATAAACGTCGTGTAATTATTAATTATTAATTATGCTCGTGGAAAATAAACTCCTCGTGCCTGAAATTAACTTGCAATGAGATTCACAGGAAGATCTGACTCTTTAAATTCTTTAAATTGCCTACACAATGTGGAGGATGAGTAAAAATCTCTCACTTAACAAACTAACTTTTGCCAATAAACGTCGTGTATTAATTATTAATTATTAATTACGCTCGTGGAAGAGAAACTCCTCGCGCCCAAAATTAACTTGCAACGAGATCTGGTTATAAATTCTTTAAATTACCCAACACGACAGATGAAAGATGACTAAAAGCCTCTAATTTGTCGTGCAATTATGCCACGAACGACTGTGTAATTATCCCCGGTGGCGAGCACGTAAAACCAAAAGACGAGAAGATGAAAAAAAAATACAAAACACGACCGTCAGAGTGTTAACCTTCCTTACGAATCGTGGCAGACGGACAGAATTGAACACGGGAGACCGCGACCGCGTGGAGGAACCGGAACCGGAACCGCAGCCGGTCCTCTCGCCACAGATTTAATCCGAACGATACGATCCGGCTGTCGCGGAACGCCGCATGTTCGAAGATAAAATCCACCTTCCAATGGAGGCTCAAGCTGCCACAGCAACTGTTCTCCCCTTGTCCTCTCCCTTTTTTTTTTTTTTTTCTTGCTCGCGTAATTTCAATTGCGGCCACGACGGTTGCGTTCTATGGAAATCAGAGAGAAGAAAAAGACATTCGTTCGTCCCCACTTCCGCCCTTCCGCCCCTCTGTCTGTCTGAATCGCGTTGGCTGGCCCTTTTGTCGGGGCGCGAGGGGCTAACGAGCCACGGCTTAGAATTTCGAGTACGTGGGCCGAGCGCCGACAGCTATGTACTATGTAGTATCGGCCGTCGTTCAACTTTTCCAATTTCCCCGCACGCTCCGCCTCAACCCTCCCACCATCTCGATAATCACGCGATTGCTATTACCCCCCCGAGTAGCTTGGGGGACGTCGAACGGAGGGAAAGTTCAGCCTTTCGAGCGGACAAAGGTTGCTGCCTTGAGCCCGACGAGGATGAATTCGGAGCGTGATTAACCCTTTCGATACTGGCGACGAGTATAGTCGTATATAGCCGTGAACTAAGTAGAGGGCGACTATGGTAAAAGAATATCGGATCAATTCATAACTTAGTCTGATGACGAGCAGACTGTTATCACCTTTCAATTCAAACGTTTTGTTTGCAATATAATTATTATAATTATTCATACACGAATAAATATAATAATTATATTAATTATAATTATAATTGTTTATAATTTATAAATTATATAATTATTTATATTATTATAATTAATATAATTATTCGATGACAGCAGTTGATAAAAGCGGCACGGTCACATGTGGTTCAAGATTAGGTTTCTTCTCCTTTTAAATTATTTATAATTTATAGATTATATAATTATTTATATTATTTTTATATTATAATATTATTGTAATTATTTGTAATTTATATTATAAATAATTATAATTAATATAATATAATATTATTATTAAATAATTATAATTAATATAATTATTCGATGACAGCTGATAAAAGTGGCACGGTCACAGGTGGTTCAAGTTAGGTTAGGTTTCTTCTTCTTTTAAATCATTTATAATTTACATTATAAATAATTATAATTATAATTAATATAATATAATATTATTATTAAACAATTATAATTAATATAATTATTAGATGACAGCAGTTGATAAAAGTGGCACGGTCACATGTGGTTCAAGTTAGGTTAGATTCCTTCTCCTTTTAAATTATAATTTATAAATTATATAATTATTTATATTATTTTTATATTATTATATTATTATAGTTATTTATAATTTACATTATAAATAATTATAATTATAATTAATACAATATAATATTATTATTAAACAATTATAATTAATATAATTATTCGATGACAGCAGTTGATAAACATGGCACAGTCACATGTGGTTCAAGTTAGGTTAGGTTTCTTTTTCATTTAAATTATTTATAATTTATAAATTATATAATTATTTATATTATTTTTATATTATTATATTATTACAGTTATTTATAATTTATATTGTAAATAATTATAATTATAATTAATATAATTATTCGATGACAGCAGTTGATAAAAGTGGCACGGTCACAGGTGGTTCAGGTTAGGTTAGGTTTCTTCTTTTTTTTTTTTAATATGTGTCAAACGAACGAAATTTTTACGCAGAATTTTTTAACCGAATTTTCAAATCGTTTGACCGGATGTTTGGTATTAATCCCTTCGATATTAACGACAATTATAGTCGGTCATAAAGAATTCGCATCAATTCATAACTCACAATTAGTCTGAGCAGAGCGTGACTGTTATTATCTCCTTGATTACGGGATCTCAGATGTTTTGTTACATGTTTCGATAGTTGTATACGATTTGGTACATTATAATTATTAAAACTATTCGATGGGAGCAGTTGATAAAAGTGATATGGTCTAGGTTAGGTTAGGTATCGAATCTACAAGGTGATTTAGGTTAGGTTAGGTATCGAGTCTACAAGGAAAACAATCAAACGGGTGTAAAAAGTTTTTCCTTCGCACGTCGGACATGTCAGTTTGGAATTCATATTGTTTAAATTAGGTAGTTGCTATCAATAAATTGTAAAATTCACGACGCAGGTTCACTATTGTCTAGCCCCGTTTTCACACATTTCGTACAAAATTATATTATTCAACAATTTCACGAATCGTTACTACTATAAAACGTGCCAAAGTACGATCTCTTCCCGCCAAATTCGTTACGTTGCACGACAAAATTTAACTAATTAAGGTTATGTTACTTATTCGGTGAGGTGGCGTCGTTTAACGGAGACGTATTTAAACGCTTTTAACCTCTCGCGCTAGTAACTGGTTCGCGGACCATAACGAGTGACCAAGCCGTATACCGTAATTCGTCTTCTATTTGAATTCATCGGTGTATCGGAAGTAATAAATGTATCACGTAGGCAACAAATTATTAATTATTTTATATGTTAAGTGATAGATTATTTGTTTCACCTGGGTTATAGTTCAATATACTTGAAACACTGCAATTTTTGGCCAAATATTCCAAAGAAAAGAGGTGACGTTTCTCGTCGAGGCCTGAGACTGCGGTCGTCATCGTCGCGAACGAATTCAGAATGCCGTGTTTTCCGATAATATTTTACGCGTTTCATTCCGCTGCCGGGTCTTTAATGAATTATTCGAAACTCGACTCGATTTCCATATGCATGCACGGATTTTCCCCGTTATAAGAGGATTATCACTCGTACCACTGCAACGAGCCAAAAGACCCTGAATGAGCTGAAAGGGATACCGAGAGTTTCCAGCTAAAAAAGAACCAGCCCCGGCCCGAGAAATTGGAAACTCGTGTAAACCGAGTTAGCTCGCCAGTTAGTTTGCCAGTCAATCCATTTGCATCGCAACGTAGACTGCACGCGTTCGCAAAATGTTTTATAATTTCATAATTCGTCGAGTATCACGATTTAAACATTTACTATTCACTCGCTGCTTACAACGAAACATCAAGAGCGCATAATATCGTAATATGGAGAGTTTATGATCGTTAGCGTAAGTTACTTTTGATTAAAAACAATTTGTGCCACGAAATTACTTTTCTTTTTTTTTTTTTTTTTTGATAAAATCTTCAGCCAACAGAACGGTTTAATCATTATTGTACAGTCACGGTGTGACATAATTATTAGAATGTAATAAACTAAAGCTATTAAAAAACATTGCTATGTAGATTACTCGAAATAATAACCGAACTGTTCCATCGACTGATAATTAAATTAAAACAGACATTTGCACGGTGCAAAGTAGTTTTTAATGAGAAGCCATTTGCGCTAATTGATCTGCGAGCTCTCCATATATTTAATTATATTAAATATGAGATTCTTAGCCGGTGCTCGCGAATTATTTGCATCGCGTTTCATGATTCACTCGCCTCGCGATGCAAATGGATTAAAGAAAAATCGATTGAAGTCGTTTTTATTCTCCAATGTGAACCGGAAATGCAAATGAATCGACGCACAGCGAGTCACTCGACGCCGGAAAGTCGGCCAAAAATATTTTTGTAATTTAAGTAACACATTCCGATACACTATAATACGTTTCATTTCTACACACCATGACAGTGTAATGTATTATCATATCGTGTGAAAAACTGAAACATACATTTTTTTTGTTAAACAATTTTTTTACTACTTATCAAACAATTGCATAGAGAATGTCCCGTGACACTATGATCAGTCGATTCAAACGATTGTATTATACGTGCAAACATAAATCGGAAAGGGAGGAATAAATTTTTAAAACAAGAATACTATCAAAGTCAATTTCTTATTGAAATTTTCTAGTTTTTTTTTTTTTTTTTTAACAGCATGCACACTTAGAAACACAGTGACAAAGTATCATTTAATTCATTAAAAAAAAAAAAAAAAAAGAAAAAGAAATTAACTTTTGGCCAACTTTTCGAAAGAAATGCCGCACAGTGTGAGAGACTCTCGTCAAGCGAACCGTGCAAGCCCGTAGTTTCACCATCAAGCGATGATGCTTCGCGAATAAATAAATTACTGATAGATACGAAAAAAAAAAAAAAGTTTGTCGAGGGCAAAGAGTTAACATAAATCGTTCAGAAACACGCAGTGAGAAGCTTATAATTATATAAGGATAATTATAGGAAATTATTGAACTCGCTCCTCGCTGGATCCGCTCCACTTTCGGCCTCGCCGTGTTTTATAATTCGATTCTTAGTCTTCTTGAAATTCTTACACCTCTGTTCTGTTGAAACGCGGAGAAAGTTTCTGCGCTTCCGTTTTTCCGTGCTTTCGACGCGAGAAATGCTAAAATTCGTTACCTTGGCGTCATCGATATCTTCGTCGAACGATCAGTGGTGATTCTGCGAAGGTCATTCATCTTTCGACGTAGGATTCTCCTGTTAACACATTGTTGACCGCGTTTGCATTGGCTATTTTAATTTCTGACACTCAGGGATAATATTGTGAAGTCTTTCTTACTTTAGTCTTCACTTTATTATAAAAAAAAATTACTTTTATTCAGGTTTTTATCGCAATTTTACTGTTGCAAGAATTTCAATCGTGAGTCAGCTTTTTAGGCTTTTAGGGCAATTAAACAACACTGTTTAGAAAGAATGATCTAAAATCACTGATATAAAAACAAATTTAACTAGAACGTATAGCGTATGCTTTTCAAAAGGAAATATATTTGCAAAACCTGTTGTGTACCACTACACGTAGGTGATTGCTATACAGTTTATCACACCAAAAAAAATCACTAAAATATAATATATATATAAATATATAATAATTATATTATTATATATTATTTATTATATATTTATAATAATTATAAATATATAATAAATAATATATAATAAAGAATATAATTAATATATATATATATATATATATATATATATATATATATATATTATATTTTAGTGATTTTTTTTTGTGATTTGCAAAACCTGTTGTGTACCATTACACGTAGGTGATTGCTATACAGTTTGTCACACCAAAAAAAATTACTAAAATGTAATATGTATATATATATATATATAATTACATTATTATGTATTACAATAATTATTATAATATATAATAATATAATTATTATATATTTTTATATATACTATATTCTAGTGATTTTTTTGGTGTGATAAACTGTATAGCAATTATATACATATATATATATATATATAAAGTATATATATATCGAAGTTGATTCAGACTGTTTCACTTTCACACCCAATTACGAAATAAATACCCAACGGCGTGAGATAACTTCCAAAATTCCCGGTCAACAATGCGTTAAGCGTCAATCGTGTCTCATCACCCGATCCCACTGGCAAGGTGAACAAAGTGAAATCTCTCGTTTGTTCGAACGGAACACGTCCGGGGAAGGGCTACAACTATACGTAATGATACATAATGATACAGAGGTTTCGCGAGATCTGGTCGTTTCTTTATCGAACTGTGATGGTAGAGTAACGAAAGTGTTGTTGATCGCTCTGTCGACTGACTCACGTCGTTTCTGCCTCGTTATAATTTTCCTCGATGCAGTACGATGTCAGAGCTCCGATACGAGACTGATACGGTTTTTTTTTTTTTTTTTCTCTCTCGATACGGTACGATAATAATAAGAAATCGCACGACGTTTCTCGATGAGGGCGCAAGCGTGCGACGTTGCGAGGCGCGAGGGGGCACGAGAGGTGACGCGTGACGCGTGACGTGTGGCGTGTGTGGTCTGACGTGTGCGGTGGCGTACCCAGACGAAGGTAGAGGCTTGGTCGTCGTGGTTAATCTCTCTCTCTCTCGGTGCTCGGTCCACACGATCACGATCAACAGACCGTGACGAAGGAGAGGGTGGTCGTCTTCGGCGAGGCGTAGGCGTGAATCGATTGGGAATATCTCGATTGTCAAATGCGCAGGGGGTCGGTGTGCGGGTTGGACGGCTTGTGTCGTGCCGCGCAGAAGCTCAGGCCGAAGCACAGCATTAACAGCGCCACCGAGCCAACCAGCAGGTGGCTCGACCACGACACCGAACACTTTCCTGAAACATATACGACGTACGTCTGTCAGCGGGTCTGTTCGCATGTGCGCCCCTCTCACAACCTGTCCGAACCATCTCTGACTCGATATTATCTGCCACGCGTGTTTTGTCCGTTCGATCATTCGCGTGTTTCGTGTTCGCAAAATGTATTTGGACAAAAATGTATTTCGTTTCACTCTCGTGTAAATTTTCACGAAAATATCTGCGTCTCGTCAGAAATGAGCTGAGTTAAGGTAATAGGAACGTTTCATTTCTACGTGTAATTTGCGACTCGCGGATGTTAAATTAAATTTTGCCTCCGTGGTACTTTTGTTGTACTCTTCGTGGGACGTCGCGAGGACAAGGTTCGACGAAAGATACCGGGGGAAAGAATTGTAAAAGCGTCGAACGAAGATGAATCTTTGTCCAATATGCCGCGACGTTCGATGTTTTGCGAGGCGGACCGTGTACAGCGTTAAAAAACGATTTCAACATCGAGGACACCGTAGGGAATTTCTCTACGTATGAACGACCGAAAGAGACACCCGTTAGACAAGACGAAACAGCTGACCCACGGAAGACTGCAACTGATAATCACAGAATTTTAAAGGGGAGTCGTGACTTAAACATAAGCCGTACGTACAGCACAACGTCGTTTAGCTTCTTTCGGATTACATGGACGACGCGGAGTTAAAAAGCCATTAATTTCAATGAAAAATGGGACAGCGAGACTCAGACATCTTCACTAAGGACGACAAAGGATTGGCCTAAATTGGTGTTTTTCAGCGATGAAGGCAAATTCAAATTGCTAGGTTCTGATGGTACTCGAATGGGCAAGTCGACGAAAAGAATAAAAGATTCAATGTTCGTAATTAAATTCCATCAATAAAACACGAAGATGTAAATATCGCGGTGCTGGCGATGTTTCTTTCCGGTCAAAAGAAACTGATCCTTTGCGGCAAACGAAAGATATAAAGATGAACGGATATGGTGATATGTTAGAAACAACAATGTTACTGCATGCACTGCAAACGATGAACAGTAATTGAATTTATCAACGTGATAACGATCGTGCCGCGAAAAATTGGATCAATCAAAATAATGCGAATATTCTTCAATAGTTGTCGCAAAATCCGAATCTAAATCCGATTGAACACCTTTGGCAACGTTTAAAATCGAGCATGATACCTGAAAAATTTCAAAATACCACCGAATTGTTTGAAACATTGTCACTAATGGCAGATCGTTCGTTCTGTGATAATCCTGCGATGTGTAAAATTGATTGAAATCTACGTCTGGAAAGATGCAGGCGGTTGTTGATAACAAAGGATTGTCTACAAAATATTTAGTTCTCCTTTCATTTTATGTCGTATTATGGAGGTTAATATTTGTTTATTGTCATAATTTTGTTGTTGTCTGAACATGACTTTTGTCAATCACATTTTCGTTTATTATTCAAGAATATATTTCTCACAGTTGAAATAAATTGGTCCTATCTATAAACCAGCAAATTGCTGTAACGTTAATACGCTGCACTAATCAAAAAAAAAAAAAAAAAAAAAAGAGGAAAAATCATCTGTCTGAATTTCGTAAAACCAATTGATGTAATCCTTAAATAAATTGTTACAACATTTAAAATAAATTGATACAATTTATTCATTCAGCTTGTCCTCTGCAAACCAGCAAATTGATGTAACGTTAATATTGATCAGAAAAACTGGGGTAAAAAAAAATCATCTGCCCAAATACATTTTTTATGATACTGTAGTTCGCGCGTGTTGGCTGAAATCGGGGGAGAAACGAGAAAAGATGGCAGTTCTATCATAAATTTCCATCATAACTTTCCCGACGGGTTGCATAAGGTTTCCGAAGTGGCTGCGGGTCAGCTGCCTAATGTGGAAACTTTCTCGTACATCGTTTGTAAGAGTGTTGCACCGAGACGTCGCACGATCGCGACAATGGCGCACGGAACTGGAAATTTGATTCGGACTCGCAGCCGTGTCAAAGAGCACGGAAACGTGAAGAGAAAGTTCGACTTTTCCATACTCACCGAGATTGTACACGTTAGCACCCTTCCCGCAGGACTCCCGCACCTCCCTGTTGTCCCACCCTATTGGATACATCACCAGGCCGCCGCATATCATCACTGCTGTAACAAGAAAGCATCACGGTTAATACCAAGAATTATATCAATAATATTTCTTGTAATATATTAATAATATTTCTTGTAAATATTATTCTTGTCAATAATATTTCTTGTAAATATTAAATGTAATTGACAAATATCATTTTAAATATAATTCTGAGTGAACTGTCGACAATGGCCACATACTATAGCAAAAGAAATACAATTAGCATTAACGTATGTAATTAAACATTAATATAATGGAATTGGATTTGAATTTCACTCTTAACATTAGAACGACTAAAGTGTAAATACGTGTTTGTAGGAAGGAAACTGAAGTGCGAGGTATGCCACAAGAAAAATTTAATCGTTGAATACAAAGAATACAAGCTTCTACTGATACATTTTTATTGAGGATCACTCGAGTATCCAAAAATACGTTGTTACAAATATATATTTAACTAATAAATATATATTTATTGAATAAAAAATATAAAATATATGTATATTAGTTAGAAATATAAATATTTTATCAAATTAAATGAAATATAATATATATTTATTAACAAATGTACAAATGTAAATGTAGTTACAAATGTAAATAATATTTCATCAAATTAAATAAAATATAATATATATTTATTAGTTACAAATATAAATAATATTTTATTAAATTAAATTAAATTAAGTATAAGTTTCTTAGTTACAAATATAAATAATATTTCATCAAATTAAATAAAATATAATATATATTTATTAGTTACAAGTGTAAATAATATTTTATCAAATTAAATAAAATATAATATGTATTTATTAGTTACAAGTATAAATAATATTTTATCAAATTAAATAAAATATAATATATATTTATTAGTTACAAATACAAATAATATTTTATTAAATTAAATTAAATTAAATATATGTTTATTAGTTGCAAATATAAATAATATTTTATCAAATTAAATGAAATATAATATATATTTATTAACAAATGTACAAATGTAAATGTAGTTACAAATGTAAATAATATTTCATCAAATTAAATAAAATATAATATATATTTATTAGTTACAAATATAAATAATATTTTATTAAATTAAATTAAATTAAGTATAAGTTTCTTAGTTACAAATATAAATAATATTTTATCAAATTAAATAAAATATAATATATATTTATTAGTTACAAATGTAAATAATATTTTATCAAATTAAATAAAATATAATATATATTTATTAATTACAAATATAAATAATATTATATCAAATTAAATTAAATTAAATATATATTTATCAGTTACAAATATAAATAATATTGTATCAAATTAAATATTTACAAAAATTACATTTATCAGTTACAAATATATAGATATACAAATAATATAAACAACATACAATTCCCACAGAAAATTACAAATCAGTCACATCAGTTTAATGTCATCAACTTAGAACAGAAATAAAAAAACATTTCGTCCGACCGAGAGGAATCCAAATCTCGAAGAACGTTAAAACTCGCCAGATAAGCACAATCGTCTTTGACTCGTTTCACTCGTTCGTCGAACAATCGGACATTTATTCCGAATGAAACGAGAGCAATGATAAGCGGGGAGAAAAATAATACAGGGATCTTCGTCATTTTTCAGCGGATCGTCGGCGAGATGCGCCTTTTTTCCGTGGCTCGGGTGCAGTGGCAGGCACGGCTGGAATGCCAGGAATTCCGAGCATCTCCCGCTACTCGCAGCAGCAGCAGCAGCAGCCACGAAATCCAACCGGTAATTCGAGCCTCGTTTCGGTTTACGGCGATTCGAGCAAATCGGGTCTGCGATCCGCGGTCTACCGCGCGATTTTCTTTTAATCTCCTTCGTTCCACGGTTTTGGTATTCGCCTGTCCTTTGACCGGCTCGCGGCGAGTTTCACGGCTGGTCGACGGCGAAACGCGGGTTTCAGCGTTTCCTGAAAGCGTGCAAACGGCGGGCGGCGGTCTGAAAACTTTCTGACGCTTTTTTTTTCTTTATATTTTGTTAATGGTAATTTGCCAAAAGTCAACTATTCAAGTTTAACGTTTTAACGAAATTCTTCATTTCCTTTTTTTCTTTCTTCTTTTTCGTTCTCTTTGACTGTTTAGAATAGACGAAATATGCAATACGAAATATTAATTGTGCGATTGAGTATAATTTACGCCGAGGTGGAAATTCTGAAACTTCGAAGTGAATTTTTTTTTTTCTTTTTTTTTAATCGATGATACGTAGGATATTGTAGGCAAATGGAGATTTCAATTATTGTTTTGAGCGTGTTTTTCGACTGTTCGATTGTGTTTCAAGGGTATTCTTTCATCCACGTTGCGAACAGCGATACTGTTTACAGCAACTTTTGAATTTTGAGAAACTGTGACGTGAGAGTTAAGAAGAGTATACAAATTTTATAAATGTGACTTCCTGTTATCTTTAAATAGAACATTAGTCAGATTTTAAGGAATGCATGGTGTACACTATCATCATCATTTTTCACTTATTTCCGATGATCTGGCAAAAAAGAAATAAGAAAAAAGTATTATAAAATTTCAAAATTTGTTTTCACAAAAAACTCAAGGTTACCTCTACTTTTTAACTTCAATAATGATATGATCATATCATTCTTTTTTAGCTGACGGTGTTAAAGCTGTTATTTCTAATGATCTGACGAAAAAAAAAAAAAAATGTTTGGAATGAAAATTAATCAGCATTCGATTTTCTGCAAATTTCAAAATTTCAAAATTTTATTTCCTACGAGAACTTAAAGTTACCTCTGCATTTTTTGAACTTTATCTTTATGTATACTATTTATAAATTGCATATAAATACATATCAATGTATATTAATATATATAATATTTATAAATTATATATATACATATTAATATATATCAATTTCATTATATATACGTTATATATACATATTAATATATATTAATTACAATATTATATATACATTATATATACATATTAATATATATTAATTATAATATTGCATATATATTAATATATATAATATTAATAAATTGTATGTATATACATATTTATATATATTAATTATATATTGCATATATATTAATATATATAATATTAATAAATTGTATATATATATACATATTAATATATTTTAATTACAATATTATATATACGTTACATACACATATTAATATACATTAATTACAATATTATATATACGT